GTGTGTGTGTGTGTGTGTGTGTGTGTGTGTGTGTGTGTGCGAGCATGTGTTTGTGTAAGTATATGTGTTTCTTTGTGTTTCTTTTTCCATGTGGGATGAATGTTTTTTGCATTATGTCAGTATGTAGATCTATGTGAACTTATGTGGCGACGTATTCGTCTTTGGTAATGAGAGCCGGTGAGCTTCCTCGGCTTTTGCCATCATGCGATAATAGATTTCGTTTGGAGTATTTTGTGTTGTCTTTTTCACAACACTACGATTATCATTTATGTCTTTCTCCAAGTGGCAGAGTGCAGCGCATTCACAACCTCCAAAGCAACTTAAGTTCCGAGACGTCCGTACCTGAGTGTTGTCTAACTAAAATTAAGCATGGCCAAATATAAACAGGTCTTCATACGCGCTAAAGATTTTTTAAAGTTTGACTACACGCCTCACTTTGTCTCCTTTTTAGCTGCCAGCTTATAGTAATAAATAATAATAGCATTTTAATACAGTGTATATCCACGCTCTACAGCCTTGATGGCAGAACGTTTAGAATAGGATTTCAGAGCCTCAAGGATAAGAATAAATCATACTTAGCTACTAAATATAACTAAGCGGCTTCCTTCCTAGCTGTATTATACACTGGTTTGTCCAAAAGTAGAGAAAGAGGGAGCAACGGAGTGTGGCGACTGTGGTGTCCTGTGTTTATCACCAACGTCTCTTCCCAGCAATAAAAAGCTAAACAAATGTCAGCTCTTGGAAGTACTTGGCGGTAATGAATTATTTGGTCCTGTCACCCTCTCGTCTGAGAGACGTTGTGGTCAGCTGTTGGCTGAGGGCTAACGAAGGTCACTCCGGGAGATTCCTAATCCTTCTAAGCATTTTGAGGGACACTCTGTGCATTTTGTTGTGGGGCGTGTGACATTCCAGAAACCTTCAGCTCGGTCGAGAGGATACGAGAAAGAGAAGAGGGAACAGCAATAATTTGTGTGAAGTGGTGTTGAACAGTGAGTGTTAGGTGTGCTAAAAAATGGTGTTATGATCTTTTATTTTTACATCATATTTTTGTAAATTTTGATTGTTACAAACCCGATGCCGCTCTTCTATCCTCCTCTCTCTCTCTCTCCCTCCCTCTCTCTCTCTCTCTCTCTCTCTCTCTCTCTCTCTCTCTCTCTCTCTCTCTTTCTCAGATACTATTGTTATCCCCCCTCTCCCCTTTCGCTTTTACCTTCATACATATTATGTATTCTTCCCAAGTCTGTTTCAACTCTGAAAGATCCCACCGACAGGTTCTACAATATTATAACAATGGGTGTTTTCTGCACTTTTCAATCTGCAAGACTCAGCACAGCTTTTGCCTAGTGCGAACCCATCATGCATGTGCTCCGAGTCATGCGGTGGGTGGTTGCTGAGCGCTCTGGTGCGGTTTGCTCTTTCTTTCCTACCAAACATAGTATATATCGCCCATATCTCTCCTCCGTCTTTTCTTTGCATGTCATGCTGCTAGCTGCCTGTGATAATCAACTTATAACAATTGCAGGCCTCCTCGCCTGCTCAGCATCTTACAACACGCAATATACAATGAGCTAAGAGGCTTGGTGAAGTACAAAGATACAATCAAAGAAAAGTTGTTCACCCTTTTTGAGATTTTCGTTTTTGATCAAGCCTCGTGCAGCTTCAATAGTTTACTAAATTTATTATAGTTATTCCATTTAGCTCCGCCATGGTGCGCCTTATTTTATTATAGTTGTATTTCTCATGCACCTTGCTCCACCATAGTGCTCCTCGTTTTATTATAGTTATGTATTTATCATGTGCGTGACACCAAGGAGAGAGTGAGAGTAAGGAAGAAATTATACCGCCCCCTGCCCCCCCCCCCACACACACCTTTTCCCCCTTTTTTCCTAAACGTACTGAAACTTCTACATCAAAGCACCGCTAAAAACCTGCTCATTGTATGCGCTCCCTGGGAAGGTTTTTCCCACACGTGCGTTGCATTTTTCCTTGAGCTTGCACGTGGGTACATTCATGCCTCTCTTGTCTTTCTCCTGGAACGATGACATCACTGCGTGAACTCATGAGTTAACCGTTAAGCAGTGTTTACATGTGTCCGATTATGTAGCGTTTTGTAAAATGATGACAGTCGTTCTTGTCAGATGTTTGTCGAACGAGAAACCCGATTTTCCTAAAGCAAGCATTTTTATCTGGGCTAAAACACCTCCAGGAATCTATTCAAGAATGACCGAATTTTCCTTAGAAAAAATGTTTTTAGTTATTTCTTGTGGCATCAATAGTGGTGCAAATATTTATAGGACGAATCAAGCACTCATATCGTTACTCTTAAATAGATATGAGTGTTTAAAACACTGAAACTATTGGTTTTGAGTCTCTTTGAGTGATGTCATATACGTAATCCTCATCGTGAGGGAAATGTATTTAGATTACATATTCATTTTCCCTTTAGCCACGTTTGAAATAA